CTTCTAAACGCCTTGAAATTGGCCTCTGTCTTTTTAAGAACCACCTTCCGCTTCTGTCTCACCCATTTCAGCGTGGGACTGGGGTTTTCAACTAAATTGTTCCGGGGGCCACAGCTCAGGGGCTGAACAACCAGCAATTAAAGTTATTGTGTAAATAAACCAAGTATTACAAAGATCTGTTACCTTTGAAATAGTTTATTTTGCTGCATTTAATCATGAATACAAACCTTTAAAAGTAGCGATAATTAAACAACAACAAGAACACATTTAACCTCAAATTTAACACAAATATTTTGACATCTCTGACTAGCCAAATTTTTACACCAATTTTATTTTCCCTTTCATAGTTTCTGTCTTGAGTGTACATAGAAATGTTTTGAATTATAAAGATTCTGTTTCTGTAGACACCAACATGTCTGTGTTTAAATAAAGGAACTTATAGTAATTGAACTAGAAACCCAGGGTTTGGGCTTCAGAGATGAATGAACCAATTGGCGAGCCGAACTTTCCCCTCTCCCTTTTAACCCTCTCCACTGTTTGCTCAGGATGGGAGACTGTGATGAAGTGATTCAACACAATCTGCTGCTTTCTTCTTTACATTGTTCTTTTTATCTACAGTGTCCTGAGACAACGGATGTTGNAATGGAAACACAGCTACTGACACTTCATCCTGGCATGGGAGCTGAACTCACAGCCTTCTTACTGTGAGCCAACATCAACAACCACTGTCCAACAATTCCAGCTTTACAACACAGTAAACAAGATAATTTATTTACCTTAAAATCTGAATACTTTTCCTAACAAACATTTTATTCATATTCATTTTGTTTTTATTTCTGTAGCTTATTTCCTTTCTGATGATTATAGATTCTAACAAACAGAAGATAAAACACAGCAGCCTTGATGCTCTGAACACATTTATATTTCTTCTCATCACATATTCATTGATTGAGTTTTAATTTTCCCATCAGGCCCCTCCTGCCCACAGCAGCTTGTTGTCTTCCAACAGTAAAAAGCTGCAGTTTGACAACCTGCCTGTCAACCTGACAGAAACCCATCAGAACTGCTTGTGCCAGTGAATTATTGATGATGATGGGTGGGTGTTGCTTGTGTCTGGACCCCCCTCCCCTCCTGCTGCATTTCTCCATGCTCTTTGTAAATCAAATAAATTGAAAAGAAATGGAAAGAAAAGCCATGACTTGCCTGTTGATAATGAGAATTCGAGAATAATGAGGCCACAGTGAGTTGGTTTTGGCTTTATGAACAGTGACAGTCAGGTCCTGGATGTGGAGGATGGTTGTGGGACCTTCAGTTCTCTAGCTTCTGACTGCAAACCAGGTGGTAAGTTTCCCTTTTGACATRCTGTTTGTAAAAGTGTCCCAGGATCAGAAAGTGACCTGGTGTCTCTGAGGTAATTAGTCTGCAGCTCAGATACCAGGAGCAAAAGCTTTGATGGGCTCAGARCCCACTGAGACCTGACATTTCACTTCTTTTTACAGGAGAGCTGAAAATCAAGCTTCAAAGCTTCTGTCATTGTTCTTTTATTGGAGGATTATTATCCTAAATTCTTTTATTTTCTGCCCTAATAAATGTTGGTTACATTAACAGTAGCCGTGTTTCCATCAACACTTTTTAAGATAAGATAAGATAAGATAAGATAAGATAAGATAGAACTTTAT